CTGCCTAAGCCGTTCCCCTGCTGCCATTCCTGCTGGCTTTTGCAAGCACATGCATTCGTGCTACGGCCTCCCCTCCGTGCAGGGCAGGCGCATCCTGGGAGGGATAGGGGTCTCTCCCCCCCTGCAAACAAGCACGCAGAAGATCACAGGCTGCTTAACTGGTAACAGGCCTTTACTTAAAGGTTTTCCCTGAAACACAGTACAAATGAAAAAATAAACCTACGTTATCATAGAATGCGCTCAATTTAATTAAATTCATTACGCACAGGACACAAAAAACTGGGCCATCAATTTTGTGATACGTGCCTTTTTTAAGTAGTGCAAACACACAGATGTTGTTTAGTAAGCGCTCCTGCTTGTTCCTGCAGTGACTGTGTAGGTGTACACTGAGACCTGGAGTTTTTCTAAACACAAAAAATATCTCTGGAAACAACGGGCTGCAGGGAAGGGTGCTGGGGAGATCCAGCAGGAAATCACTCTTTCCAGAACAGCAAGTCTTTATCTTTGCAGAGGTACAACATGTTCCTGCCTTCGTGTATCTCCTCAGGCTGATCGCGGACGCGGCTATGTGTGGTAGGAGTCGGAGACTGAAGAGCATCACCGAGTTCAGGGGGCTGCATCTTCTTGGAGCATCTGCTCAGCGCGGCAGGCACGGGGCGTCCCCACGGACGCGCGGGCAGCGAGTGCACATCACCGGGGTAAAAGAGTACAGAAAACCAGGACTGCAATCACAACAGCTGCCTGTACTGATCATAATAAGGTGCGGAGAGCAAGCTGATGGGATGTGTAACCCAGCTTGTGGCCGATGGTTCTGCTGGCCAGACACGACCACGTAGTCACAAGCAGGGGTCTCGCTTGTTTACAAAGGAGTAAGCAAAATTCCAGCCATTGCGGACAGACAAGAGAAGAAGGATTTCCAGAACAGAAACACTGCTGTCCGAAGGTCATCTGTCCTTTGGAGCTATTCCAAATACAGTTTACCACCTCCATATAACTCATGGGTCTCGTATCTTGATAGCACAGCCTCGCAGTACCTCCTTTTCAAGGATCCCGATGCTGCTTGCTGATGTCCAGGTGGCCAAAGAGCATGCGCGGGAGCCAAGGAGTTCCTTGCTCAGCTTATGGACAACGACAGAATGGAGAGCAGTGCCCTGGCTCTTCCTTCAATCGCTTAATCATGGCATCTTCCAAAATGGTCAGCCTTCACTGAAGGCCTCTAGTGAGAGCATTTTGCTTTTTCTTCTAGGACTGGAAGATGAAGCTCAGAACAGGCAGAGTGGGAGCAGGCAAAAGCAAGCTACCCCAATGGGTTTTGAGACACTCCGTTTCCACTTCCATTTGTCCGACAGCCACTTTTTCTCTGGAAGGAGAGCTTCCCAGTAGCAGATACAATCTATGTTGGATGCAGAAGGATGGAGGCAAGCTGCATTATTGTCTCCATCACAGTCATGCACCATAATAAATATATAACACAGGCAGAAAGTTCATAGCTGTCTTTGTGGAAACCCCCGCCGTTCAGAGAAATAAGCACTCTGGGGTGTTGCTCCAAAGGATCTTTGTAATTTATGTAGCGGCTTTGTTTAGGCTAAATTGGCTCGATAATACATCTCAGCGGAGGAGGGACACTGAGATTTTTGAAGAGAGAGCTGAAGAAAAGGTTGCTGTGCTGTGCGCGTCAGTAAACGAGAGTCACTGACAGTAACTGAGAAGAGGCACTTCAACTGGAAAGACTTTCAGGAGCAAATGCGAAGCGTGTACCTCTGGCTGCCGATACAGAGAGCTTAGGTACGCGTACAGTATCACGCTGCAGAGCACGACGTGCTGAACGGCACTATACAGCTGTGAGCCTCGTGGTTCCCATACTCTATTTAAATACCCACCAAAGTAAGAAATCTGCTGGTTCTGGGGATAACTGATGTCAAAATTTCTGGCTGAGAAGCTGAGGGATCTAGTAAATGAAAACCTGACCTACAGGACACTTGTGCCAGTGAGACTTCAGCAGGTTCCTGAGGAACAGCAACCAGTGTCACTGAAGAAAAAAGTAGTGAAACAGAGAAACCTTTCTAATCTGGGCATCAGAAGACAGCTGCGCTCAACACTTCTCCTAACAGATGGGCAGCAATGACTGCTAACGATTACTACGGACCCCTTCTCTCATATTGCACTTCATAGTAAAACCACTCCGAGAGAACGGTCATCCGCTACAAGACACCAATGGCGTCGTCAGAGAACCCGAGTTCGCAGCCATCTCAGGTAAACGCTCAGCTCCTCCAAAAAACAGGTTTCTGAGTTAGGACTCCACGTTAACTGCTGCATCTGTAGAAAAGGAAAGTAATAGCACTGCCTGCACCTCAACCTAAGCATTGTAGCTGAGTGCTTTGAGCTAGTTCCTCAAGCCATACCGCAAGCCTGCACTTCCTAAAGAGTGTCAGAAGCGCAGTTCTTGGTTAATTCCTACTTACTTAGACTCAGACTTAAAGCAATAAAACATCCTTCTCCTACACCAAAACTCCCCCCCTCCAAGCCCCAGCCGCAGCCTGGGCAGTTACAGCTACGCACAACGTGCTTGCACTGCAATAGCTTATTCTTCTATAGGAAGGATAATCAACTGTAACATAGTGATACCTTATGTCCACTACCTATTTCAGTTAAAAAAAAAATGAAGAACTTGACAAATGCATGTTGTAAACACTGTGGTTGTACTGAACAAGAAGTCACAGATACAAAGATCGTTACACTGAAAGTCATCCTGCAGATTTGCTTTTTATCACAAACTGCCACACTGACAACATTGTCATTTACTAATGGAAGCTGCATACAGCTCTCAGTAGGATTTTGGTAGGGATATCCAACCCCGTTCCTGGAAACTCTCCTGACTTTTTTTTTTCAGCACAAATTACATGCTTTTCAGTGTGGCCAGATCTGTACAATTCCATAAAACTGCTTTTAGCAAAACATTTAGTTCTTGGAAGCAATCGGGGCGAGGGGGAATTCACAGTATTCAGAAGTGCCACAAAGTGCCACAACGCACCCTGCTGAGCCCGAGACCCTTAAAAGAAGAAACTACCTGAAAAGGGAAGAAACTACCTGGCAGGAACTCCCTTCTGTATTCCAGACAGACGCTGCTGAGCTTAGCATGATTAAAGTGCATCACCAGCAATTTAACAGCCTTCTAGTTAAGGAAGCAGTAAGTCAGCTTTTCCATGTGGATTGATTCCCATGGACTTACACATAGTGCACCAAAATACCAGACGGTTATCCTCCGATTTTTAAAATACAATTGTAAATAACAGCCAACAATAATAGTCTAAATTATAGCCAACATATAGAAATAATCACAATACTATGCAAAATACAAAGTAGACCTGACTTTTGGCAGTGATAGGCAGTGACTGCTTATAGCACCTACTCTGGTATCTTTGCAGAGAAACAACAACTTTGACGTCGCCGTTCGCCGGGACCTTCTGCTGGGCAGGTTCTGGGGCCTTCCGCGGCACGCCTGACCTGCTGGGGCTGGACCAGCACGAGGAGCGTGGGAAACGAGGGGGAAACAGCCTAAAGAAGCGTCGAGGTATGAGCACTATCTTCTCTTTTTTTTCTGGCTTCGGGTGTACTTCATAGATCAGAGGGAATTATACAGCAGATGACAAAACAGGATTTATTCGACACACTGTACTGAATTCAAATGCCTGTGTACCTGAAAGGTGAAGGCACTGTTGCTACGGCTGCATGACGCAGGCCCTCCAAAGCCCTGGAGAACGGGAAGGCTGAGGAAGATCCGAGCACGCTCTAGGATATGAGCTCAGAAATGGGTTAGACGTTTTTAAACTGCAAGTTCTAGCTGAGTTTTAACAGTAGAGCAACGATGCACAGCTCTGAGGGATGATGTAAATGCTGCAAACAGATTTGAAGTGTTAAATCATAGGGAAGGAAAATAAGAGGAGAAAATTAAAAAAACTAACACCAAGCACAGCCCATAGATTAACCAGCTGCAATCGGTGCTTTACAGGCATTATTTTTTCTTCCCTCAAAGGCCCATGCCCTGTCTCTAAAGCCACATCGCACTCTAAAGTGAGCATCTTCTATCCAGACTGGCCTGATGAGACGAGGCAGGTAGAAGCTGTAATGGTGCTGTAAGCACAGAGCTATGAGAACATCCCAAACATGCACAGAGCCGTTCTAACTTCACACTAATCCAGCTGGCAGACCAGATTCTGAGCTAACGCTGGACAGGCTTCATCAAAGCCTTGCAAGATGACAAAGAACTATTTAAATGAAAAAAAGAATCAATAGAAATTAAAAGATCCAATAACAAAGCAAGGGATTCTTTTGCCATCTGATATGTGACCTGAGATAGCTACAGATTAAACGTTTGGGAGGACTTACTCCAAGTCTGGGAGCAAGAGGACCTTCACCTTAACTAACAAACCTACATTAAACAAAAAAAAAATAATTCAGAAACCAGATTATTTACTTCTTACTGCCCTCAGGAGAACTGATCCTTGGAGAAATGGCTTATCTAAACTGCAAACACCTTGGTCTACCCTTCCCTCCCACCCCCTTTCCCACCCCTGCATATATATAGCTCAGAGGCAGACCCCCCCTTAGGAGGCATTGCACAGGGTTTGACTTACTGGAGAACGCTCCAAAAGCCAAAGTTATAACTCCTCCCAAAACCTGTTTTCTGCAAGGACCAGTTGTCAGAACAGAGAATACCAGTGACACCACGGAGCTGAAATTAGAAAACGTAGACAATTTCAAAGCTAGGGCATTGATACCAACGTGCCGGTCACCCTCTGCTCCCTACGGGCTTTAATTTAAATGGACGTCGAAAAGTGGATGATGCTTCATTTAATGCAGAGAATTCCTCAGTGTTCTTGGTCAGATTTGAGCCTTAATTCTCTTTGGTATTTACTGGCTAAGCTCTGAAGTTAGGGTTTGTGCGAGTGCAAGAAAATCTGTGTGCTCTCTTTTGGTGGAGAAGGCCTGAACTGGCACAACTACCCCATGAAGATCCTGATCACCATCTCAATCTCTTTCCTGCACACTGGGCAAGGTGATCTCTTTTTCTTCAGCATCTTTGCACACTTGAAACAGGCCACAAGGTGAGCAGTCCTTCCATGGACAATATTCCCATCCCGTGGTCTGTGATGGCATAAGAAACAAGGATTCAGTAATTTTTTTATACTCTCTAAAGACTGTATTTCTTCCTCCTTTTTATGCTCAGTGAAGTGCAACAGAGACTCCTTGCTTTCACATTCTTGTGCCAAATCCAAAGAGTCAATAGAGCTGCAGGGATCTACACGTGACTTGTTTTCTACCACGTACAGGTCTTTGGGTTGGCCAACTGGAGCAGAAATAGTCCTTCGGCAGTCCGGGACATCGATCCCGTCATCGTCATTTTTGTTTTGCATAGCATCAATGCTGGACAGAGAAAGAGAATGAGCCAGTTTGGGACAATCTGAATACCAGTCTTTCCGTAAGGCCCAGCAGCGGTAACAGTACCGTTTTCCTGGAGAGTTAAATTTCTTGCATTTGGTGCATTGCCAACAGTCCTGAGGAATGATTGAGGCAGACAAAAACAGCAGTAAGTTAGTGTATTCTTGCGTACGACTCGTCTCCTCTACACAGGAAAAGCAGCAAAGGAGCTTCGTCAAAAAAGGACGTTTATTACCTCGTATAAGCTTGCGAATGCATGATCGCTAGTTTGATTATCAGCACCTCAGAAAGCCTAAAGAGAATTTTACTACCCCTGTGCATTCTACTGATGCAGATCCCTTAAGCATTAAAATCTGTCCTTCCTTCCTCCCAGCCTTCAGCACTCTGGAAGAATACAATGTTCTCAAGCTGTGCAGTTTATTGAATTTTCAGTATCTCGCTCTAAATTCAAGGGTAGAGCTCCTGGAATCAGTCAGGAATATATTTCCCAGACTCACTAATGACTTTAGCATCTGTTGAATCTGCACAACTAATAGCAGCTTGCTTGATTACCCCACAATAGCAAGGGCAAGAGCTGCCCAAGTTCAGAGCTATGACTCAGCTGTCCAATGCCAGGGACATCCCAATTTGTCAAGCATGCCGAGTCTAAAAAATAATGCTAAAAAATTTTGGTGCCATCAGCTGCAAAGAGGATCGTGATACACTTTTGCTGACTTACAACAAAACTTCAAAAGGCAGCCTGCAGAACTGGGAGAAAAAAAGGGCAGATAAAAGAACACAAACTTGATGTCCCTCAAGATCTATCATGAGGGAATTCAGAAGAGGAATGGGGTAGTGGGGAGGGGTGACAACCCAGTAATTACTGCTTATTCTCTCTTTCCACCTTCTTTTTTTCATTTAAACAGGGAAAAGAGCTGTGGTCTGTCCTTAGAGAGGCACTGCAAGGGCAAAGACATTACGCCAGCAGGTACGCAGGCTCTCCTCCTGACAAGGGCCATACAAGTATCTGAGAAAAATGGGGTGAGACGAGAAGCAGACTCTCTTCTCATCCCAGAGATTACCACGAAACAAGTGACAGCTTCAGAGCTGGCCTGGACACCCAGGGCTCAGTGGAACCCTGATCCTGACACAGAAATTTCCACTAACAAGCTTTTTTTGAGTATGAGCACTTCAGTGGTTACAAAGCGCCTGCTTTAGATTTCTGAATCTCTGCCAAGGACTGTACTCCAGATCTCCTTTCAGAGGACAATACAGAATTAACCTTATTAAAACACTCATGGATATTGTTAATACTAACTTCATACAGCATTAGACTGACTGTGCTGGAAACTGAGAGCCTAATCTTCATTCACTGCCTGGGTGTGTGAAGGGACAAGTTAAATCATGAGTAAAAAGCCAGTGGCTGCCCATGCTGACACTACCTTACCCTGCACAAAAGGGACGAACAACGTAGAAACAAGGACCCTAAGCTCCTAGTCAAAAAACCCTCCTAGCTAGAGCACGTATAAATTCTCTCACATTGCCACAACAAGTGGCCAAAATCACGTCAGTTCCAGGACTGCTCTGTGGCCAGGAGAGACACTTGGTGGCTTTGGACCGGGTGGGTCGGAGCACTCACGGGCTGCCAGGGCTCAATGCCCAGCCAGTTCAGAGCTTAACAGAGCCCTATCCAAAACAAACCAGACCAGGTCAAGCCAACTTCTCTACATTCTTTCACGTAGCTTACAAAAAGGCTTTTTTGGCTTGATTTTTTGCCTTTTTGGCCTTTGAAGCGCATACAAGAATCAGCTTCTCCTACCACAACCAGTAGTAGCTGTAGGATGAGTTTTTCCAACTACAGCTAGGACTGCAGCACACTCCAAGCAAGGAACGCTGACCTGAAGGATGCCTACCTCAGAAGTAGCTTCTGTATCTGTGTCATCACTTAAGCATTGAGAATCCTCAAGGTCATGCAAACATGCATCCTCAGTCACCTGGAAAGAGT